AACACCATATAAGGATAGACATTCCATATTTGGAAAAACGAACGTTACGGGGCAGATATTCAAATTCATTAGTCACCGATGCAGGCTCTCAATTCAGCATGAGAGCCTGTTCGCAGGCTAGTCCTTTCTGAATGCAACGATCTTTACTTCACTGCGATAGCTTTTATAGCTTTTACGTTACATGAAATCAAACAGTATCCACTTTTTTGGGGGGACACCCGGTATACTAGTGGGCACAAGACCTTCTGAGCCAGGTTTGCAATTAGCTCGAATCACTTGAACGTAACGCGGTTATCTCGGATTTCAACATCTGACACCCGTGCATGCGACATGAAAATGTACTGCTCAAGAATAATGTCTCCGATCTTGACAATTGTTAAGTGGTTCATGAAACGGTTAAATTCGATGTCGTGACAAACAAATCCGTTATAGTCTAACTGGGCCCTAATGTCATCTTGAATAATCAAGATACAATACTTCTTTTAATATCTTGATGACTTTACTTTTGGAATTTGTTGGGGTTTTTTTTTTAGATTTCAATCACAACGTTTTGACACTCAAATCCAGTATCTTCCCTCAGTTTCTTAATATATTCGAGGAATCACGTCATCCCTAAACTAAATTCTCTCGAAGGATGACATCATCGCCAAACTATATTGCAACCTCCTGATGAAGACGATAGACGCTAGGTTGTGAATGGAACCACACTCAGGAATCACATTCATTTTCATTTACTAAAAAAACCGTTTGTTTATATACCCATTTCACAACTTCAGATAATCGACCTAAGCATTAGAATTATCTAGATGAATGAAGAACTCTTATATATAATTCTAATGCTTAGTTACCTTTGTTCCATTCTATCCTTCTATAAACGAGAACAATAGTAACTGGGCATGTGAGTTATCTAATTTGTCTATTTTAAAACATGCATCTTCAAACTGTCACGAGTGTGTCACAAGTTTCTCAGTCAAAATATTTTGCAGTGTAACGTAGCGTATAGTATTTTCTTTTCAAGTCATTTGTCCCAGCCGGTCACCAAACAAAGCAGAGTATGCTAATTCTCCGTACGATGCGGCTGAAGTCGAAAACAAGACTCGGAATTAATGCATTTTTACCTGCTGCTATAGTTCCTCATATCTATTTTAAGTAACGACCTACGTTTCAAGAGATATTGGACTGCGTTCCACGTGATTTCAAATCAGGATTTTTGAAACATTATATAAAAGCGAGCTAATCAACATTTTCGATCGTGACGAAGTCTGTCTGTGTCAAATGTAAAAGTGCCCGATCCCTTGATGAAGTTTCGAGTTGTTGTTGGTTGTTTGTAAATCTGTCATATAATTAGTTTGTGTCGATAGTTAAAATAATGTAATGCAATTTTAATGTAAATTATGGAGTCCCGGAAACCGGTTATAGATTCTCTCTGCTTATGGATTGCTACCCTAATCCCTATACAAACTTAACCGTAACCGCTGACACTAACCCATAAACAGCGAGACATAAATCTGTATCCTGGAAACCCGTGGCGAACTCCCTTCCCGCTCTGAGACACTTACCTCAGTTGAAAATATAGCACACTAAGTTCTAGTTTAACTGAGTAATTATTATGGATAATCAAAAATCCATTCTATTTCCAATAAAGGTCCATACAATTTCCATTCTATGACCTTCTATGGATGTTCAAATTCTTTTCCATTGAGTCAAACTGGCACTTGTGCTGTGATTTCAACAAAATAATTAAAATAACTAAAGTGAGCACAGATACCTGTTCGCCATCTCGTTCAAATTCCCAAAGCTGTTGCCACAACTCCATTTGTTCCCGGCGTCTCATCCAAGCCATCTCAAGAACATTTTTCTTCGCTTCGAGCTCAGAGATCAATTCCTCCAAATGCTCACATGACCCGGTCGTTTTGACGTCCTGCGTGCCCCGGGTCACGTGTTCAACAATGGCCCTGCCATCGTTGATACTTTGGTTAATGTTCTCCAATGCTCGTTCGCATTGATGACGTAATTTGAGAAGGACCTTCGCTATGTCGTCGGGATCGTCCGACAGTTCCTCGATCTCGAGTAGGGCTTTCACTTTGTCGACACTCTCGTGAAGCTGCAAGTGAAGTTTACGTTGATTTAAGCCGATTACAGACGAGCTAGTTTTCTATGATAAATGGACCTTTAACCTTATAACTAAAATTTTGATCTAGACAAGTCTAGACAAAACAGCTTGAAAGAGCATCACAAAATTAGTAATATTCCAAAGTTTCGTTACGAAATGTTGTAAAATGCGGATAATATAGCCCTGCGAAGTTTGCAATGACTGAAAATTGCAAACTTCGCAGGGCTATATTATCCGCATTTTACAACATTTCGCAACGAAACTTCGACATATTACTAATTTTGTGATGCTCTTTCAAGCTGTGCTGAAATTTTTGTCTAGACTTGTCTAGATCAAAATTTTAGTTATAAGGTTAAAGGTCCATTGACAATTTTTTCTATGGCAAAAAGCTAGCATGCTAGCTTTTGAACAAGTGCACTTGTCATAGAAAAAATTGTCAAACTACAAATTTTGTTCGTCTGTATGGGTCAACAAAGAAAACTTGTCAAAGTAATCTGAGCATTTGATGTGATTGGCCAGAAATAAAAATTAAAAATGGCGTCTTTTCGCGCGCTCGCGTTGTCCGCTGTACTATTACATTGCCGGCTACTAATAAATTGTCTTCAAAGTAAATTAGTTGACACGTTCACACCAGTAAAAAGGTTTGTTATACGAAACTTGTCATATAAAATTTGTTGCATATACACACGTGCACTTGGCAAATAAAACTTGTCACACAAAAACTTGTCATAGAAAACTTGCCCGTCTGTAACCGGCTTTATAGGTTAGTTTAATGACAAAAAATGAAGAGGGATTCTTTCTGCAGGATCGCGTGGTCTGTCATAAATCTCCAGTGAAAATACAGGGTGTTAGCCAGAAGTGAAAAAAAAATCCGCGTTTACCTGAAAGTGGGAAATTTCCTTTAGCCTGAAGCCGGGCATTTCTTTGTGGGTCTGAGGGCATGCGGTTGCCCTCCCTCGATTTTTAAAATTTTTGTGTCTTTGAAATGGCATTTCCCGCATTTTGGGAGTAATTTTGAGCAAATGTAGTTATAAACATGTTTTAAACTATTTTTTGGCTGACCCAAATTGGGAAATTGCGACCTCAAGGTAATGGGGAAAACCGCGTTTAACGCGGAATTTTTCACTGTAGCTAACACGCTGAAATATCTGACATTTCTGCGCATTTTCCCCCCTGCAGGAAAACATTTTCTACTAAAAATTAATTCTGGGACATGTTTTCACTTCCTACTCTGGTAGTCTGGTTGAAGTAAACAAATTCACAAATTATATTCAAGACACCCAACGTTCGAGCCTAAAATTTGTTACAAACTATCACAAACAACTTACTGTTTTGGTATTTGAATAAAATGAAACAGCTTGTTCCAGAATTTGTTTTCTCTCTTCGACACGACCTACAAAGGTCTGGACACGTCGATCGAAATATTGAGTTCGTTTTCTTATTTCATCAGGGCGGCATTCCCCAGTATCTTGTAGTTGTTTGATGGCTTCTTTGATTTGATTTGCGTTTGTGTAAGTATTCTGAAAACAGAAATTTATTTAGGTTTGATGGCTAAGTGCTTTATAGTGCTGTGCCTTTCGCCTGCAAGCTTACCAGTGAAGCCGAGAGCGGGAACCCTCTAGACAGTTTATTTAGGCTAGAGTCTATAGAGTTCTATAGAGTTTTATTCCTGCAATATGGAGTTTATAGTTGGCCTCTGTGAGAAGAGTGCTTCCATGCAGATTGACTATATCAAAAGCCTTTAGTCTTTACTGGATCTTAGAACTGATAAAGCTTCACTAATAGTCTAATAGTATAAAGTTGGTGTTAGTTTTGTGCAAACTAGATCCATATTTGATCCACTGGAAAAAATTTTGAAAATCCATAGAAGGTCATAGAATGGAAATTGTATGCCGGACCTTTATTGGAAACAGAATGGACTTTGGTTATCCATAATAATTGTATATTTCCATAATATGGATATAGTATAGAAGTATAGTGTGGATATACTATGGATTTTGTGGTGCAATTGCATATTTCGTAGTATGGATTTCACTTTTTTTTCCAGTGATCTCAAATGTTTTTAGAATCACTTACTTTTGCAATTGCTTCAAATTCCTCATGTCTTTTAAGAAGAGCTTCAGCTTTTTCAGCCGTCATTCCGACATCCGTGTGTTTATCAAGGAAAGGTTCACCATGCTCATCTATCCATTTGATCACCTGAGGAAAGAAACTCTTATTAGCCCAAAGTTTGGTTGCTATATCTCGGGTACAATACACTGCACATATAAGTACATTTTACGATAATAATTTGGTACTTTTTCTTTTACAGGATCAGAGTTTTCAGTTGGATAGGTTTTTCAAATCTTTGAAAACGAAACCAAACAGAAATTAATCTTCACTTTTGAATTGAAGTCAAACAACATTTTATGACAAATTAATAAATTACCAATTTAAACAAGAACTAGATTTAAAATCATAACTAGATATTCAAAACAAACACTATAGACATGAAATGACTCTTCTCTTTCTTTTTTCATCTTTGAAAAGAAATTATGAAAGAAGATTGGTTGTTGCAACTAAAACGATAATCATTCCATATATTCCACTTACAAATATCGTTGAAATATCGGTATTAAATATTTTCTACTCTTTCGTCAAAAATTGAATTTCCATTGTACACGCGTTTGCATACTCCTAAAAAAGTCCCCAAAACTACAATTTCGTTTTATAATGTAACCCAGCATGAAACCTTTCCAAATGCCACTCATAAACTAAATATTTCACATAATCGCTGCATGATGCCCCGGGTTATAAATTAAGCAAATTACCACAATAGATGCAACTCTTTTAAAGTTATTGTTCGCCAAAATGCCACTTATGAATCTGAGCAAACGCGACATAGCGACCATGTGTTCTACACATTTCATCGTTTCACAATTTCTTCTTCAAATTTGTAACCGAAACCACATCTTAACAAACCGGCTAAAACGTCTGGTCGAGGCATGTGTACAAATGAAACCGACTACAAGCACTTAAGTTAAACAAGTTTACATATTGCATTTGGCTTGTTATACATAAATATACGAACTCAAATAGCGCAATTGAATACGAAGTTTCTTGCATGCAGAGCGAAGTTTCTTTCATGAACTCTCTTGGACGTAATAAAAATACGCTAAACATTTCCGATTTATGTATAAACAACGATGAATCAAGGGGAAAAACAAACAGATCTACTATTTAGTTTACAAAACAACCCTTTATATTGAGTCTATTCAGTTTCTCACTTATTGGTGAGCGGATTTCCCGACAGCAATTGATAGGGGGGATCTGAGGTACCTACGATTTAACGTCCTTATCCGAGAATATCTTTTGGTAAATCGTCGATAATCGTTGCACACAGAAAAATACGAAACGTAGAGATCCAGCTAGTGTGGCTAATTTATATAATAATAGGTCATAATGAAGGGCTGCTGTTTACTTCAAGTATACATACTGATGTTTTTTTTCAAGTAATTCAGAAACAAACCACAACACTCAGCAACTTATTCTATGTGTGATCTTTTTGTTGGTAAAATAACCTCATCTATTAAATGTTCTGTTTTCGCAAAAAAATCTAATTAATTGAAATTTCACTAAAACTGCTGACAACATTGTGTTTTGGCAAGAAAATTAATTAATTGAAATTTCACTAAAACTGCTGACAACATTGTGTTTTGACAGTGTCAAAAACAATTTAAACAATTTTGCACTGTTGAGTAATGGGTTGGTTATATGTCATGCGACGTCATTATGGTCTCTGCGTGTGTACAGCTGTAGTTATCAGAATCTGTCCTCACACCTCTGCAGTAATGTTGGTCAAGTTCAATCGATGTAATTTCAGCACTGTCACTGACGTGTCATAACATCAACCTTACAGCTCGGGGTTTGCACGCGCGGAACAAGCGAGCATTTTTGAATATGTGCTGCGGCTGTCCAGCGTGCCCTTATCAGTTTTGCACCGTAATAATTGGAGCTCGGAGTAAGAGGTTAGCGGCGGGGTTGGGGTCAGGGATCCGCCCTGATCATAGATATCTTATATACACTAGATAGTGCATCTAATTATTCTGCAATTCAAAAATTGAAGCCGTGATTGCAGTCTCAGGTCGTTCTCGTGAAATGAGAAGATTCGTATGTTTTCTATTTCTTAAACAGGGAACTTAAACATCAAGTTAACCCTATTCCAAATACGTTTTTAAGTTATTGTTGTTTTTAAGCGTTCATTAGCAAGTGGGAACGACCAACATGGCCGCCATCTATTCAAATGGGGGTAACCGCTGGAATATTCTTGGCTTCAATTTTACTAAAAGAGATGCGCTATCTAGTGTATATAAGATATCTATGGCCCTGATACATTATGATAGGGGCCACACGAAATATATACCTCGTGTGCACGCCATGAATCGTGGCATACATGCACGCACGACTAATTACACACGTGACTCGCTCCTCCTCGCGGACTCGATACCCCGGTTTACGGGTACAGGTAGCGTCATTTTGTTTAGCAACTTTCTTCGATGTCTGTGTGTTTACTGGTGATTACTGTACATGTTCGTTCTCAGCAGACCACGGTCCATCGCAACAAATAGAAAAGGTATGATCAAACATGAAAAACTAGAGGAGATTTTGAAACAAAATGACACTACCCGTACTCGTAAACTGGGGTATCTTTATCTCTAATGGAAGACCATAATGACAGGCCTTCAGAGCGGGATTATTCGACTTGATTTTCAATATTTGGCAGATGATTTCTTAGAAAATGTATCTAAAACGATTGAGATGAAAATTTCGAAATGATACTGCACCATCCACTTATCCGTGTAAACTATCCAACAATCTAGCTTATTCATGTTCGACGGAGGAGCTTATCTTGACGACATAACATACGACTCTGGATATATGCATCGTAGATAAGTTAGTTTCAGTTTCATTGAAAAAGGAAACCGGAGTACCCCGAATAAGACCTAACGTGAGATTCAAACAACTGCATATTAGAGAAATCGCCTGAGGCGTAAGGCAAATGCGCAAACAACTGCGCCACGAACACAAAGGGTCACCAGTCTGCGCATCTAAGGTTTAAAGATTTCCATCTTACTGAACCGGGAACTTGCCAGGGACAGGGATGGATTGACTGGGGGTGCAAACGAGGTACCAATTTCATTATCAAATCCATATTTGATTTGGAAAAGCAATTATAAAAATAGAGACTAAATAAGATGACTGTAGTCATGCTTAACAATTCCCACGGTCGCACCCTGAACCATGACCAAAGTCCAATGAACACCTGCCCCCCCCCCCTGCCAGATCCCTACAGAAAAAGGCATGCATGTACTTCTCTACTCTAGCCTCCTACGCAGGCCTCTCTATGGGTTTTAGCCTGCGAATGGGCATTGAAAAAAAAATCTCACTAAACTTTTTCCGACCACCCGATTCCCCGGTTTAGATGCCTGTGGAGGAGGCTATATAGTACTTCCCATATATAGAGACATTTACATGTACTACGATATAGTGATACAGACTAAATAGATAACCTTGTTAGCAATGTATTGACGCATATAAGTTGAATCATATTTCGCCTGAAGCAAAGTATGTACTCGAGTTAAAGCCGTTTCAAAAAGGATCTTATGTAACTGAAGTGGCATTCAAGATGGAACGATTAACGATTAATGGCATAAAAATACGCCTAAACTGTGTCTTTATAATGTTTTTTGCAGAAAACGCTGCGACAAATATTACCGAGTATGACAATTTTTAGTCTTATCAAGAATGTTTTCATTTAATTGATGCTAAAAATGGACTATATACTTTATATAGAATGTCGTGCTGTGTAGGATAATTCGAGTTTATGCGTTGTTTAAATTGTTTTTGAATGATTTCATTGTTTCTTAGCGTTGGTATGATTTTATAATGAAAACAAAACACATTAGAAGCGAATCAACGTTTAATTACATGCGAAATTAACACAATATGAACCTAGTACCCTCTCTCCTATACCCGTGCTAAACATGTTTGAATCCATCCAAAACATACACTAAGGCTAAGTACACTGAATAGAGATTTATAACAACTTTTCAAGGAAACAAGCCAGAAACGAGGCTATTTTAAGTGTTTTCTGAAAAATTTAATCTTTGTAATCCGGTTATTCGCCGGCTATCCGCTGCCTGTCTGTTAACAAGGAAATTCGGAAATAGCAAAAGCGGTTGTACGCTATTTTAAATATCGTTCCTTTTATAAATGGCAAGGCTAACAGGTAAAACGTAAGCACATAAATCGATAGAACCTTTTTCCTTGCATGTCTGACACGCCAGACGGGTATTGTACACATAAAAATAGCCAAATGATTAGATTTCATTAATCACAACACAGCCCAATGTCAGAATAAATTAAATCACCTATAATCTATATGTCCATAGACGCCAAACGCAAGACTTAGAAGACATATATACCTACTCTTCACACAGAACTACACAACTTGGCAGAGTTCGGACACCCCTCAGAGCCTGGCAAAGCCAAAGGAAATGGGATTTCTATACCATTATACGAGGAAAACTCGTTGCTAGCAAAAACATACTTCGATTGTCAGATTTTGTTAATTGCCTAGCGAAAAAAGCCCGACTCTATAGTATAGGCTTGTGTTACAATGATAATCTATAACTTATGATAACACAGCAAATTGACGTGTGGACACACAAAATTCTGACATTTGTATTTTACTCATCCTCATGTGGAACATATGTACACACTCTGAACAATGTTATCTAACAAAACTCGCTACCATTGTATTTACGTTACCGTTTCAATAACTCAACACACTTTATACTTAATAATAACATCATCCGAAGTCCAAAAACACTTGTGAGGAGCTCGTAAGCTATCATTAAGCCCATATACACTTAAACTAACATTAACTGCGAGCTTACCAACGTGAAGTATGATTCGCCACGGATTTGAAATATATCCATTTCTCACAAGCACACGTCAAATAGCACGTAATGTTGCCTTTCTGTCGTTTCATACAAGTAAAATACAACTCTTTGTCACTTCATATTGTATTCCACATTTACATTGTAACGTTATCAGCAAACATATATAGTCAAGCCTAGTAAATCCCCTCGCACAGCTTGGGTACAAAGATCTAACGTTGACAAAAACCAAATAGGGATGAAGGTCGACAGACCGGAACGCGCTCTGCGGGCGTTCATGAATATTTAGCTCAAATACAATTTAATGACATCATTACTTTTTGATAGGATAACGGGCGCTAATACATCTTTCCTTTGGCTATTCCAGTACGAAACAGGCTATAGGTACTATCAATACATGTAGACGCATAGACAACAATCCATGGGAAATTCCGAAAGCGGTATATCACATCACATGTATGTTATTATGTCATGCTTTTGCTACATGTCACCACCTCTGATGTATGGGTCAATGTGTTAAATAAGCTTTAAAATGGTGAAATTGAAATCAACGATGAAAATGTTAGTTGTTGAAAGAAAAGATGATTCCCAATATTGAAAGACCACCCTTAAATTTGAATAGCACTAAAAGACCAGAAAGAGTACAATAGTAACGATTACTTGAGATTTTCCCACATTTAAAATTGATAATATCTATATATAGTTTCTATCAACCATGAAAATGCATTAAAAAATGTGGCTAAAAAAGACATTCTCACGCTGCTGCGCAAAGCTGTATAACTTCTTCGTGATCTTCGACGTTTTGTGCGCAAAACAGTGGCCACTGGCCAACTTCAAATCTATTGAAATTTGTGGGAATTAGGGAATATAAAGAAAATAATACTAAATGTTTTCACAGCATGTATTTGCCATTAAGCTCAAAGTCAATATATATGGTGAAAAATTTAGTCACTCTTGTAAGTTGGTAACTGTCTTTCGAGTTTCGAGTTGCACTTAGAGATAGCCATACACTGCCGCATTTAATGAAAGTTATCGTACTTCCGCCACGCTAAAAGTCGTAGTCAAGTGTTAAAATGATTCACATGAATTGCCAGCGGGCACAGGTGGCACTGACGTATAGGCTACATTTAGCATATTGTTCATTCTGTTCGTCAAGGAAATGACCTCTAATTTAGCAATTTAACACGAAAACGTTGCGTGGTTGTTATATTGTCTATAGAAAATTAAAATCGTTGCTGGGAGTGGGACGCACTGCTTCAAGTCTTCGTTGAAGTCAAGGGGTCGATTAGCTTAACCCTAGGTTAACCTAAAATTCAAAGCAAACTTCCCAAAGCTTCGTTATAAACTTGGAAATATTTCTTCAGAAATCTTGTCTGCATGGACCAATGAGAGTTTTCTTCTCTAAAGTTTTGAAACAAATAGATGTGCAGAAATACACAAACTAAAACAGCAGGTTTAAATTTCAACCCAGGTCAGCGCTGCTAATCCAACTTTGAACAACCAGCCCAAGGATAGGAATTTATAATCAATGAAGTTAAATATACATTTGTAATTGGTATTGTATGAGCGCATTTTTGGCTGGACTACCTCGAATGGTGCATTGCATTTGCGCAATTTTGTTTTGGAGCCATTGGGGGGGGGGGGGACTGTTGAAGAGTCAGTTTCCTTGCAACTCAAATCGAATCGAGGGCGGTTGTTCAAGGCTAAATTAGCGATAACCTTGGGTTCAAATTTAACCCGCGGTTTTTGTATTTCTGCATGCTAGTTTGTTTCGATACTTTTGAAAACAATATTTCTATTGATCCAGACACGATTTGTGGAAAAAATACCGCCAAGTTTATAAGCAAGCTGTAGATAAATAGATAGAACTTGACAGTTTTTCGTTAACCCAGGACTTAATAGCTAACCAGCTTTCGAATAACAGTTTATAGCACGTAAAAGCAAAATCCTGTTTCCAGTATAAAATTTCCGAACCACTTTAAGGTCATGTTTCAGAATTTATAATTCGTGCAAGCAATACATATATGGTAAAATATTGAACCATTATTTGACCTACAGCGTTGGCGGTTTTATTTATAATGAGACAATCGATTTTTATAGCAAACACAAACTGTATAAGATTATTGCTATGAAACAATGCAAACAATAAGATTAAAAACATAATATTCTTGCGCTTAACAACAGTGGAATTTTGAATACTTATAAACAGAAAGCATTTGCGTTAAAAGTGTATAGGAGTTTAAACTGTATATTCCTGTTCAGATAGTTGACTATTTTGGGGGGGTGGCATATAACTTGACATAGTTTTAGAGATTTTATTGATAACCCTTGACGTGTTTCCGGTCTTCAACCCTCGCCAAATTATTTCAATAAAGCCTTTAGTAGATTCTTAGAACTTTCTAGGGATTAAACATGTATATGTAGGGATTAAATCAATATACACGCCCAAACTCACACTCGATATAATCGCAGGAATCGCAGGCTCGATTCCTGCCAGAGAGTCTATGTTTGCATTTTTTGCAACTGTTCCTGGTTACGTCTGATAAATGTATAAAAATTCCACTGGAAATTTCCATCTACAAAATCCATCTATTTTTATAGATAATATAGGTACGCCTTAAATTCAGAATAGGCTTGGGGGTAGCCTGCATTGTAAACGACCTACCCGCGAAGTGTATCACCCGAGAAACGGGTAAATTAGGTCGGCTCAACCTCGTTCTGGTGTCACGACCACCTCTGCTTGAGGTCAGCTCAGGTATAGCAATTTTAGATGACAAGGAAACTTCCTAAAACAGTAAGCCAAATTATCTGTTTGAAGTAAGCCAAATTATCTTGTATCGAAGTTGTTGATGTTTCTGCATGATATTGAATTAGTGACCGCGCCTAAATGTTGGGTTTCGTTCCCGTTTGGGACATTCAGAAATTTCTACTTTAGTAACTGATTTGATTTCATTTGAAAGTACGACTAGTTAGTATCCTTTCCCTGCCGAAGACAACAATCACTTTAGTAAAATAATTGTCATTTTGTGCTAAGTTTACTCTCCTAAATCCTCAGTTATTTATCCGACTATAGCTAGCTTAAATTTTAATTTTAGCAACTGATTTGAATTCATTTGAAAGTACGACTAGTCCGTATCCTTTCCCTGCCGAAGACAACAACTACTTTAGTAAAATAATTGTCATTTTGTGCTAAGTTCACTCTCCTAAATCCTCAATTAATAATTTATCCGACTAGCTAGCTTAAATTTTAATTTTAGCAACTGATTTATTTGACTTCATTTGAAAGTACGACCACTTATTATTCTTTCGCTGCCGAAGACACCAACTACTTTAGTAAAATAATTGTCATTTTGTGCTAAGTTCACTCTCCTAAATCCTCAATTAATAATTTATCCGACTAGCTAGCTTAAATTGTACGAACCCTTATCAATGTCTCACTCATATCCTGCCTGAATAGCGTGAAACGCGATTAAATGTCTCACACAATGTGGTTGGTATTGCAAATAAACTGTGAACAATCGAGGTCCCTAATATTCTGTAATCCGTAATTAAATAACATCTAATCCAGGGATATGTTAGCTGTCATATAGAAATAGCGACGGGACAAAAATATTGATTTGTCAAATTATTCTCACTAATTCTTCGAAGCATAGTGGCGGCTTAAGGTCGATTTCAGAGGCAACAACCCTTCCCCCCTCTCTGGACAGGACTGATCTTCAACAAAATTTGATTTAAAAACAATTGGCATTTGCATGAACTTTCGTTCTTTGTCGATCCTGGTCCTAGTCTCCTAGAGTTAAATGGTTTTGAAATAGAAACGAATCATATCGTTTGAACTTTGTAGTCGGAGTCTTGTTTTGTTTTGCAATTAAAACTGTCAGCAGGACTCTCGATTTTGCAACGCAGTTTAATTGGAAATTCTCACTAACCCGTTTTCAACCCCCTACGTTTTTGACTCACGGATGTTGCGAAGCAACATCTGTGAGTCGTTGTTGTTACTTGAGTGTGGGGTGAGTGTGGGGCAGTTAAACAATGCCGGGAATTACGCGGGAAATGACCAGTCTGCTTTGCGCGCATTGTTTGCCTGCGAATCGGGCCTTTCAGAACCGGAAATCGGGCTGGAGCACGCGTTCGTTCTTTTGACTTTGGCAAAAGAAGCACGACAAATTGATATAGACAGAAGCAAAATTCGCAAGGTACTAGTTTGGAAAAACAACTGCAAACTGCTCTGATTTGTTCTGTCACTTTCATTTGATCTGATCCGTGAGTCGGCCTCAACGGCCGGGCCTTTGATTGATGTTTCAAAAACGCACACAAATATCTGCGTCAACACTAGCGTTTTCGGATCGTTTTTCCGTCCAAACTAGCACTTAGAAAACGATAAATTTTTATTATTTTCGATCTTTATTTATTCATCATATCGTTTTTTTATGCAAAAATCTTACTTTTGCGCAGAAAGAGGCAAATTTATTGAGGTTTGATAAAAAAAGCTTCGCTGATAATATAGAGCCTCTAAAGGCTCCGCAATCTCAGAGATAATTAATTCAATCATATAACCTGTTTAAATCAAAGTGCGACTAACCCCAAATATCATTTTTGGTATGTGTAATATTTGGGTCATTCTAAGAAGAAATGTAATGTATCTTTAAAACAAAAAATCCCATCTTGATCAAATTTATACTGTCAAAGTTTCCGGATATGATGTCATTTGGTGAATTGCAAAATAGTTTTCCTTTGTTTTTTGTACCAAAAATTCACCTAATGACATCATATCTGGAAACTTTGACAGTGAAAAAGTTGATCAAGATGAGGTTTACTATAAAGATACATTACATTTCTTCTTAGAATGACCCCAAATATTACACATACCAAAAATTTATATTTGGGGTTGGTCGCAATTTAACCAGAAATCCTGGTTAAATCTTAAATTATCAGGCACATCAAGTTACCCCAAGTGTGTCAAAAGTTCTGACGTTTGAAAAAAAACACGTTAAAATTCCTACCTGTGTGATGTCCTGTTCCAAAGTCAACATGTGTATCAACTCTCGTATTCCAGATTGTTTTGCATCACATAATATCCCCAACTGTCTGTGATGTTCATGAACGTTTAAAAAAAGTTCCATGACATGTGAAGCAGCTTCGGAAAATTCCGGCGAATCTCGTTCGTCTCCGGCAAGTAACGGTTTCTGTAATGCTTCGATAAGTTGCTTACTCTCCGCAGAGACTGCTTCGTAAGATGTGTCTATTTCCTTCTTTACATTAACTTCTTGTATTAGAAGCTGGCTAAGTTGATCAATGTCTGTCAGGCTTGAATAGCTGTCGTCGTGCAGTTGGTCCTGCCAAGATCGTACACGACGCAGAAACTACGAGAGAAATATGATGTTTAGTAATATTTCAAATCCGACTGTGAGAATTGGATTAGATTTCAAATCCTCGCAATTTAATCAAGATGAATCAAAATGCGAAGACTTGAAATCTAGTCCAGTCCGAATTGGAGAATTTGAAATGACATCTCGTACGAATAAATCACTACTTAAATGAATTAATGAAAATCACTACATAGGTGAATTAATTTGGATCCAGTCCAAGGACTGAATTCTGGATCAGTATACTTCACAAGGTATCCACTATTATCATGTGAGCAAAATAATTCGGTAGGCTAATGAATTATTGATTTGAGATATAACTTTAAAGATTTTTTTGTGTTATTAATGAGCAAGAACAAGACTTAACATTTTTTATTAAAAACGACGTTTCGGAATTTACTCCATCATCAAGTTAAAAGACTACATTATATTCTCTGAACAGCTTGCATTTAGACAAACTTTAAAGATGGTTTTTTGCACTTTGCTTGGTTTAACTTGAATGCTGCATGGGTTTGGTAGGGTGTGATATAGTGTGATATGGTGTGGTATGGCGTGGTATGGACTGGTATGGTTTGCTTTGGTCCAGGGTGTGATATAGTGTGGTATGGTGTGGTATGGTATGGTATGGTGTGGTGTGGTATGGTGTGGTATGGTATGGTATGGTATGGTGTGGTATGGTGTGGTATGGTATGGTGTGGTATGGTGTGCCGTGGTATGGTGTGGTGTGGTATGGTATGGCGTGGTATGGTGTGGTATGGTGTGGTATGGTTTGCTTTGGTCCAGGGTGTGATATAGTGTGGTATGGTGTGGTATGGTGTGGTATGTATGGCGTGGTATGTATGGTGTGGTAGGGTGTGGTAGGGTGTGGTGTGGTATGGTGTGGTATTGTATGGTATGGTGTGGTATGGTCTTGTATGGTATGGTCTTGTATGGTGTGGTTTGCTTTGGTCCAGTCCTCGTAGTCGGATTTAAAATATTACATACAGTATAGTATTAGGCCTACCTCTTCGCTCTTCTTATGAAAGCTAACGGAACAGGCGAGTAAACTACCACGTTCACTGATATCCATTGCAAATTGTTTCCACTCTTGTTCCAATGAACCCGCTATTGATTCAATAAGATCCGCTTCATAATGTCCTGATTGTAATAATTTTTCTGCTCCTTCGAGGATTTTTTTAATATTTTCAGATATTTCCTAGAACAAAGAAATATATTCATTAATTAAACGAAATAGATTGCAACTAAAGCCGGTTTTCCACTACGCGGAATTTTGCGCGCGGAGCGGAATTTTTCTTTGTCTTGTGATTCCTCGGGTGGAACTAATTAAAAAAAGACAAAGAAAAATTCCGCTCCGCGCGCAAAATTCCGCCTAGTGGAAAACAGGCTTAACCCTAACTTAAGGTTGGTTTACACTACCAACGTTTCTGTGATCACAGTAGCAATTTTGCACATGCAGGTAAATTCTAAGTTTTGAAGGATTTGTAAGAAATACTTGAATTTACCTTTGCAAAATTCTTCTGTGATCACAGAAACTTTGATAGCCAGCCTTTCATTATTAACTTGTTATTAACAAATTTGAATCAATAAACTTTTCAGGAAGGTGCATCACCTTGGATATAAACCGTTGTTTCGAGAATTTAGATCTTAGCTTTAGGGCTTTATATTGCTGACATTACAAAATCACACGGTCATAATAATGGATTATGTATGCATATAAAATACATTCACACGCGAAGTTATAAGTAAAGAAAACACGAACGAAGCCAAGTTCTTAGTCACAAAACACAAACAAGATTTTATAGCCAAGAATTACGATGACTCCTTTCCGGAAATGTGTATATTTAGATCATTTGTTTACGGCAAAGTTAACTAGCCATAAAGTTCACAATGACTCAACGTCTGCCAAAAAAACAAAGCTTTTGAAGCTTTGTTCGAGATATTCGTTGTATTGCTGTTTACACCGTTATATTCCCTCTATTTCGCCCGTTGTAAAAAGTGTTTACACCGTTATACTACACTAGTCAACTTTTCTTGTCTCCCACGAAACGACTTTACTTCTAGATGAGATTGTTCTAGATCATGGAACATGGACTTCAAATATAATCTGTCGTGGATTCGGTCTTAACTATACCCAAAAAGCTTACGAAAATGTCTTCCAACGCTTCGAACGAACTACTAAATTCCAAACACACAAAGCGCCTTCGCTTGAAACGAGTCGAAGTATTCAGCTTATTGTAGAATACTATATACTTATACTCGACCTCACACATTCGAGACATTAAATATACCTGGACGTGAATCGCGCTGTCTTTTAGAATTATTGCCCAAACGTGGATTTTCTTGTTCATTGTTCTTCCAACAAAGGCCATGCCGACTTACAAGTTTATCCAGCACGAATTATATGTCAAATACTATATACACACATGTGGCAGCAGCCTCTTCATACGTAAACTATTTTTGCGGAAATGATATTGTTATATATTGGAAGTACCAGACGTAAGAGCAACGCGTGTTTATTGAGAACCTGATTAAAATGCATGAGGTAGGATAACACGCACGCATGTTTCGTTACTCTGCTGGTTCAAGTAAATGAACGAAATCCCCAATAAATTACTGCTTCAACATTCATGAACACCCAGGACGTCTAGTGTCTTCATTAGCTGTTGCAATGTGGCTCAATGTGGCTCCACTTACAGGAAGGATGACTTCTGAACCTCTAATGAAGATACTATAGGTCGCTGTATGTATAGCCTATATCATTGTCAAAATGTGGATCGCGAATTTTATTTGTTCATGGCATTGCAATATTGTACTCATAAATGTATCCATGCAGTTAAACGTTTTTCACATCACGTTTCCGTATTGAAATCTAGTTAAATGTTACCAAATTAATAAAACGATATTGTTTAGCTTTGTGTACGATTTAATGTGTACAAGTATAATTATAGATATGCAAGCACAGGAGTTCATACAAAGCACTTTTCTACAAATTCAATCTTCAATTGAGGTGTGAAACTCTATCTCTCTCCATAATTATATTTTTCAACATTGAAGAAATTGTGCCAAATGTGTATACACATGTAAGTGTAAAAGAAAGAAAGCATACTTGATCATTGTATAAATTTTAACACGCGATAAAAAGCCTGTTTTAAAACGGTTATATTTTTGCTCAGAAGTGCTGTCTGAATGCGGGAAATGGTGTTTCATAGAGATAAAATCAAGATTTTCTGGTGGGAAGTTTTGATTGGAGTGAGGGAGTGCTCTCTAATTACTAAAACTCAATCTTCATCTGACAAACGGTAGTATAGACTAAAAAGTTTGTATTATAATCCCTGAAGAAAAATCCTCCTGACAAACATTACATTCGTAACCTAAGTTCACAATGTGGCTCCCTAATCCTTAAGTAATAACTTCAGTCTGCATGACACATTGGCATCGTACACTATCCCTTGAGTACATAAGATAAGAAGCCACGTTGCAACTTGATGAAGACACTACACTGGAGTGTGGAAACGTTGGATCGTGACTGTAATTTGTTGGGAATTACACTCATTTGCTTAATCCAGAGTAGCAAGCGAAACATGTCTGATTTTAGACTTGATTGCATGAAGATACTGGACTTTTGTGTCAAAACGTTGGGTCGTGAATGTAACTTCTTCAGAATTTGCATTCAGTCTTTGAAATCCTGGAAGTCTTTAAATTTGAATGCAGGTCTTTAAGGTCTTTGAAAAGTCTTTGAATCGTGTGAAAAAACGAAGAAAGTCTTTAAAAGTCTGCTTATACGATTTCCTAGCTAATAAAATAGATTGATTGAAGCAAGATTTTCGCAAATATCGACGAAAAAGTCCATTTTAGGATGTGATTTGACGGGATTAATTACCTGGTAAAAATGGTGCTGATACATCGCAATTTTTCGACACCTGCTTGCTCTCAAAAGCCTTTGAAAAGTCTTTGACAATAGGCAGAAAAAATCTTTGAAAGTCTTTGAATTTTTTTGGTCTTGGAGACTACGAACCCTGAGATTTCTAAGAAATGTTCGAGCAAACTGAAATTGTCTACTGCATGGTAAAGGATATAATGATGTTCTAGACGTATGGCGTTACTCTGGTTTAAGAAAATAAATGCACCCTAACAAAAAACGTTTACGATCCAACATATCGACACTATGCAGTCTAGTGTCTTCATCAGGAGTGATCGTAAAGACTCGTTTGCAATTGCATTTTTTGCTGCGACTTTAGGTGTGATTTCCTTCTTCTGAGATGAAGAAGAAAATCATACTAGAAATCGCAGCAAAAATTGCATGCGTAAGCGGGTTTTAGCCTCGCTCATATACTCCAGAGATACCCTCGTGAAATCAGACATGTGTCACAGTACTCTGGTTTAAGTAAACGCTACGAACCCTGAATCTTTCGAAACTTAGAATTTACCCAAGCAAAATTCCTACTGTGATCACAGAAACTTTAGGAGTGTATAAACTATAGTCTTAACTCAGCATGCTAATTGGAAATAGTTGTTCGACACTAACTTTGAAACAAAGTCAAAACATTACCTTGAATCTTGTTGTCTTGTTTAAATAGCTCGAATATTAAGTTTACAATATTATTAATTGGAGTCCGTTTCATCCTATATACATCATTATATATTCTTTTGTATATCAAATGATAATAGACGACTCCAAAACGTCTAGACTCGCATTCATTGCACAGAGTCATATGGGAATTGTGTCAACATGTCTAAAAGGGCTCTGAATGGGATCGACTAACTACTAACATTTACTCGTATTTTTGAGCGACACCTTTTTACTGATACGATGAAACAGTAATTTGGAAGTGAAATCTAACAAACTATCTTACCGAATGTTAAATGCTTACTAATTTGTACATATTTTGAAATGACAAAATATCTAAACTGATATAGCTGACAAACGATTAAACAAACAGTCGAGGCAAAAAAATGTACGTACGAGATTTTTGCCCAAAAAGGTGTACAAGATTTTTGGAATTTCGAAAATCCCTTGTGATCTATTGAGGATCTTTTTCTGGATTTGTTGGATTTTCAGAGAATTTGAGTTTTTTTTCTGGAGTGGAGGGATTTTTGGAAGTTTTAATTAGGGATTTTATTTTTTGAGGGACTTATTAGAGATTTTTTTCGAAGCGTGCGAGATTGGAGTGATAAACCCCTCGAAAAAGCTAATTTGTGAAATCTTACAAAATATCATACTGAATTAACGTTAGAGGTGGTTATCGCCCGTATATGACAAACAATGAAACAGTAATTTAGAACTGAAATCATACAAAATATAGTCTAACTTACAGCTGATAATGCACTTGAATTTTAGCTATAACAACTGATAAAATATCTTAGCTGATACCTGACAAACAACGTAAACAGTAATTTGGGACAGAAATCTTGCAAAATACCTTGCTATGAACTGGGTTAAATTTTAGCTCGCAAGTGACTTCCAAAGATTCCTATTATAAGACGTACAAGGACCTAGATCACGTCCATTATCCATGTCTAAAGGCTGGTGTGTATATTATCAAAGTATCTGATCACAGTAGGAATTTTGCATCGGTATAAATTCTACGATTTGAAGGATTTGTAAGAAATGTTTGAGTCCGTCCATTTACCTATATGCAAAATTCCTACTGTGATCACAGAAACTTTGATAGTGTAAACCAGTCTTTTAAGGGGAAGTATCGGATGCCTAACATAATTAGTAAAAAACCTCTATTCTTTAAACTGGCCAAATGAAAGCAATGATCCTAATTGACTTTCAAATCACTCACAGGCATATATCGTGAATAATTCATTAGCTTGACATAACACAAAACCTCTACTTTACAACAAATTCAACTCAAAGATCACAAGATCTATATAATGAACTATAATATCATATATCTCACTGATACAAAGTAATAGCATAAGTTAATATCCCCTATATGCTATAACTATACCCAATAACAGAGGAAGAAGCCACTTTAGATGTAAAACAAACCCTTTGTATGCTCAAAAACATTTCGACAGATATTTTGTCCAACATGAGACAATGGTCTATAATGCAATAACATGCAATTTTATGTTTGGAAAATGTCCCAAATAAGTTCAAAATTGACATAAATTGCCTATAGCCCAGGGCAAAATGAAACATCATTGAATTAATAGCACACAAATGTACAAAGCGACTCGGACTTCGACAGACAAACTGTCTGAGAAGAGACAATAGTCCACTATACCCATAATATGATTCAATTTTCAACTTGGCAACTGTGCCAAAATATTTCAAAACTGGAATAAGCATTCCTATACTATAGCAAAGCCTTGCATTTTGGGACAGAGTGAAACATGGCACAAAAGTACACAACAAGCACTCAGCCTTCGAAAACTGGGGCTGTAAGAGTTTGGTATATGTTCAAAAGATTATATTGAAACAATATGAATAGCGAAAATAGAGTCATTTTCATAAAAAATATTGGATTTTGAGTCTTATCACATCAGAAAGATATTAAAGAAAGCAAATCTAAGCTATAAAAATAGAATTATTCGACTTTAGTTTGTCCATGATCGTTGTCAAATAAATTTAAGACGAATTTTCTTCATTATAAATATACTCTATTGAGTTCAATATGAATAGCTCATGACATATACATGCAGTTACCAATATATAAGACTTATATGTGCACATGCATATATTTTCAAAATTAACATTCCATATAGACATTACCAATTATTTGAGAAACACAACCTAGCCAAAATTCTATATGGGTGCCTTTTTTAGAACCAAACATATACACATTTGTACTGTACTTTTATCAAAACGAATCCGAAATTATCCATAATTCAAAATATACATAAATGTTCTGATGTCACTACCTATAAGGCAGAACACTATATATAAGTCTCTCTATATATATAACTATATACTAATTTCTTCACAAAGCTAACTGTATACCTTAGCCGCTTTAAAATATCACTTAGCCGTTCTTAAATACCGTTAAATAAGCGCACTTATGTCAGGCAAATATTAGCAAATAGTCCCTGGGTAAATCTAGCTTTAAATTAGCGAAGCCTAGAGCCCTAGAACATACAAAATTACAGTATGGTGTTAGAAGGCTGTCAGTGATATTCAACCGAGCATACAATAGGCGAAGATACGTCTACTTTAAAAGCAATTTACCTTCCTATACACGAGCTCAGATCCTCTACAAGGCCACAAAATATTTGTTTGCATTCATAACGAGGCGTTCGAGTTTGAAACTTCGTGTAAATGTTTCAAAATAAATACAGTGAGACATCGATTCTTTTGTCGAGGACATAATTTTTCGAGAGCACAGCATGATTTCGAAATAACAATGAGTCAATGGCATATGAAATTCTTTCCCGACGACAAAAAGTTCAGCAGAAAAAAACCACAATACAAATATTCTTAAAATGTCGCGGATACGGCAGCGAGTTCCGCACAGCCAGCTGTCACCAAATAAATTATAATAATTCAGACACGAAAATGAAAGAATTACATGGATTAATCTTAATACAATCTTCGCCCTTTAAAAATACTTTCAATTTTGTACGAGAAAACAAAAATAAAACTGAATGACACACGTTTTCAACAGTATAAAATCCAAATACATTTTTTTTTTCTTGTTGATATAACGACTTGGGCAAAAACGTGATTATTATACAGTGGAGTTTTTTAAATATTAAAAAGCTTTGACGGTATATTGGCTTAAAGAACGAATATATATATCAAGGCAAATTTTCGTCAGCTCTAAATGGGAAATGTAACAAAAAAGTTTGAAATATATATACATTCTGGAAACTGCATGTCAATTGTCTTGCAGGGCAATGTGAAACAAGCTTAATGTTTACAAACCGGGCTATTTCAAAGTTTCCTCACAATAACGAAAACCCCCCACGGGAGTTCAATGAATAATTTACAAAAAAAATTCGGAATTTTGAATAACACCTGCTACATGCAAAACCGTGAACAAGTGTGTTCCCTTCTTCGACACAAGTTAACACGAACTACGGGAAGAGGAACGTACAGTCTGTAAACTACTCTGGACGTTTTCCTGAAACACTTAACTAGAATTTCCTTTGAAGCGAATTTAAAGCTATTTTAAGTACATATATAACTGGAAGAAAACAGGAAGGAAGTTCGGAACGGTTTTGGAAACGTCCAACACAAAAGACAATTTAAAGTTTTCAAAACAAATATCAATGACACAATGCGCATTTAAAACATGTGTCTCAAAAGCACAATGAAAACAAAAACAATAATAATTGAAGTTTTGTATGCCGAGACATGGCAGAATTGTACAGTACATATATATTCTTCAATGAAGGAGAAACAAAATCTTCAATGAAGGATACCCAAAATTGCTCCGATGTTTTACACCTCATGTTTAAGTATAGGTATAGGTTTGATCATGCCAAAAAAGTACATGTTCTTGAATGTACAACTGCAATACGTCCGAGTCATGTGATATTGTATAGCCCCCTCCCGTATAGGGTTAAGTAGTATATTTAAAACTTGACTGACAATTTTATACAATAAAAATAAAATTGGAAAACTCAAGTTACAAAGATTCTCATTATACGAGTATATATAAAAATGTCAAAGTCAATTAAAACTAATAATACCTTACATTAAGAAGCTAAACCTTGTCCCATGCATGTCAAAAACCTGTTACCAAAACGCTTATTTCTGTACTTGAATAGCGGTAACTTTCAAGGATCAGGAATTACTAGCAGAACCTCTCAATTTGTTGCTGCATGCATGGTTTTAAAAGTACGGTTGTAAAACGTTGTCATTGGTAGAACATGACACTGTTATACAGTAATTTGATGTTGACTTGGTGTACATAACTCATACATGCATGGCAATTGAGTTCAACATGCTTATATCATACAGAAAAGCGGGTACTATATACTGTACATTTTCTTTAATATGGACAATCCTGATGAGATCTGATCTTGTACTGACGATGCGCGATAAGTTATCTGCATGATGTTGTAACAGAACTCATATAGAAGTGAGTATAGTTTTATTCGCACATGTTATAAAGAAGAAATACATTCAAGATATAGGTAGGAATTATAAAAATAAAGAAAAGTGCATTTATTCGCGTGACGAAAATCGATAGCACAAACATGCACAGGGGTGGAAAAAATAGGCGAGCAATGTTAAACATCTGCAGGAAATTCGTTTGAATGAAGATTTGCTATTGAAAATTTGAAGGAAACCTTAACACCCATGCCCCACTATGGGCGGCGCAACAACATATGGTTGACCGACATATCTTGAATTTAAAACTATATATGGTCAGCCAGACCACTGTATGTTTATACAGATTTAGCACAAAAATACTCTGTTGCCGTTGGTCTGCAGGGAATTTTTGTCTCCAGTTTGTGCTCCCAGGAAGAAAATTATTTTTTCCTGCCCTGTCAGCATGCACGGTGATCAAAGTAGCAAAATGCTTTCGAGTTCATCACTGCATACATTAATTTGTATTATATAGAAAATTATAGATAGAAATATAGGAGCTGGTTGCAAACATATATGGTATACTTTAATTATATGTTTGCGAAAATAGATTGTACATATATTTTTTTAACAATAGATGCTGAATATAAACTGTTTGATATGGTAACTGTTTGCATTTTTCTTTTACGCTAAGCGAAAAACGGTAACTCCGTAATTTGTTCGAGCTTTTGATCTAATTTGTTTGGCGGCGAATCGTGTACTACTTGAACGTTGACTTGACGCAGTTCAAACAATATCTTAAAATATCAATGACACACTATTATTTATAATTCGCTAACGTCACGATTGCCAGTTTATATTCGGAAGAATAGCGTAAGTGGAATCATTCGAGATGCTTAAACCTCGTGTATATGTTGCAACAAGAAAGAGGATTGACTATTTCGCGGTATTTTTCACAGAACGACCTAACTAAGACACTTATCGTGCTCATCATGGCCTGACATACACAATAAGGGTACAATTATCTTTGCAATACTACAACAACAGATGTTTAAAAAAAAAGTCTGTCATTTCGAAAAATTAGCCTTAATAAAAACACACAGAAGGGGCACCACATGATCGCGCGCAAGAACAATAAAGCTTTTCACGTGCACGGCTAAGACGATACAAAACACGATAAAAGATTTCACGACATGCCATTCATGTAGCATAAAACGTGAACAAGCTTATTACACTTTTATCACAGTTGATAAAGTTAATTATTTGCATACGACGTCTAGCCTACATTAGCTATAGAGAAAATTCTATGTTATGTCAAGGTGAATCTTTTTCAAACATAATATGTGGAAGGTGTACATGAAATGTACATTTTTGTGTTACGAGAAATAACATGTATGAAAGTTATGTATCCGCGCGTAAGACGGGATCTGGATACGAGAAAGTATAAACCTATTTCTCACAACTCGTCCCCAGGACTTTATGACGAAGAAAGAGCGGAGAAGGTTGCTGTTCACTGTATTACCAAGAAGTCGACAAAAAGAGCAACTGGACTATATATAGCCCAGTGGAAAAGAGCAATGCTTTTGGTTAATGTTAGATTCCAGTCATAAAGCTTTGGAGAGGCTCCCATTTATTGCATTACATGGAAGGCCACAAAAGATGCAACTGGACTATGTATAGCTCAGTGGCAAAGAACATGCTTTTGGTTAATGTTAGATTCCAGTCAGGCGCTTTGGCGAGGCTCCCATTTATTGCATTACATGGAAGGCCACAGAAGATGCAACTGGACTATGTATAGCTCAGTGGCAAAGAGTATGCTTTTGGTTAATATTAGATTCCAGTCAGGCGCTTTGGAGAGGCTCCCATTTATTGCATTACATGGAAGGCAACAAAAGATGCAACTGGACTATATGCATAGCTCAGTGGCAAAGAGCATGCTTTTGTTTATATTGCCAAATGACAACTTCTTTATAATGTTATATCTCTAAGACTCTATGACAGGAATCGAACCAATGACATACCGATTAAATGCAGGGCTTTATGCCACTGAACCACCGAGTCCAGTTGCATCTTTTGTGGCCTTCCATGTAATACAATAAATGGGAGCCTCTCCAAAGCGCTTGACTGGAATCTAACATTGTTTTAGGATAGTACTTAGTGTTCCCATCGACAAAATACGATAAAATAATGGACAGGTAATAAAGTTTAGCCACTGCTTCACTAAGAAGAGAACAAAAAAGTTTCTGTTTGTTTCTGTGTGCATCTAACTTTATTCACCAGACTTCCCGTATAGCGAGCTTAAGATGCACCAAATCTGCGACACGAACGCGACTAAAAAACAGTCGCTAATAATGGGAGACTAGCTTTACTTTGTTTTTCTCGTGTCCCTGGATTCGTTTACCAACAACAATCCATAGTTTTTTACCCGTGAAGTAAAACTGTGATAATAGCGGCAGTTTTTCAACACGTTTAAGATGAGTTTAAGCTTTGCGTTATACGTTATACGGCAAACGGCAAACGCCAGGCAAAGAAAAATTTTACGGTATCAGGCAATAAAGAGTAATTAATGAAATTGCTGTTTTAAAACTGAAAATTTTACGGTATCAGGCAATAAAGAGTAAATGAACTTGCTGTTTTAAAACTGAAATACATAACTATTCTCACTGTAGATTTAAAGTTTGTTTGTTCACTGCAACCAGGTATATCAATCATGTTTCGCTCGCTACTCTGGTTTAAATAAATGATTACAAAGCCCAGTCGAATTGTAATCAAGACCCAACGTTTCGACACTCCAGTCTAGTGTCTTTATCAGGGGTGATCTAAAATTGCAATCGTGGCTTCTTAAATACCCAAGGGATGACGTCACCTGCCAATGAGATGCATATATTCCTCTGGCAAATAGGCACCGTCATCCCTATTCAAAGCATGATTACTCATATTTATATGCCACGCTTCTAGGCAAAGTCTTTGACCATAGCGATTGTTTGTGGTAATTACTTTAGAGTTTTCCCACGCAATCTCGTGTTTTGTGTAACATACATGTTCGGCTAAAGCTGATTTTCCCTTGTCTAAAGTTGAAACAGCCTTTTGATGTTCTTTTAGCCGTGTACCAAACTGGCGTTTAGACTGACCCAAATACTCTTTCTCGCAGTCACCGCATGGTATAGAATATACAGCATGAGTTTTCATTAAGAAAACGATTACCCAAAACGTTTTCTTAATGATTGCCTGAGATCACCTGTTTGTAGGAATCAAAATAACTCCGAGGGTGATACCTCTGTTAAGGGTTATGCAATAGTTCCATACATTCAAGGTGTCACAGAACAAATCAAGAGAATCTTAAGTAATTGTAATATTAAGGTTGCCTTAAAACCCTATTTGACTTTAGGCCATATTTTCGCAAAGCCA